CGTCTACGGTCCGACTTTGGAAATAATTATGCATAAAATGGACTCACGACAAGGTGCGTTTCCTATAAGTCTTCCTACCAATATGACCTAGTTGCGAAAACAAGGTCAAACAAATTCTATACAATGGAAGGAGACTGCGACCATAAAAATGACCACACCATCTTGGTCTTCATACTTTCAAAATTAATGTCTCCTTAACAATGTTATCTCTGGTGATTCATCGGAACCACGTTTCTCTTCGTAGCTACAGAGTATTTGTGATTTCCAGCTTCGAACCATTGACTTAGTACATTCCCAAACTCTTTGCCGAAATCATCAGTGAGTGGTGCTATCATCAGCACAGACTTACAACCTATCAAAGGGCCAAGTGAAGGCAATCCTCCTGACCAAGTTTCTGTTCGACCGTTGTGCACCACTCCTCACCCTTATTTTTGGTTTTATCCTTTAGTGCTGCATCTCTTTCTCTCAACATCAATTCATTTGGCCATTCTACCTATTCACACAATTCTGTGCTCTCGTTTCCTACACTGTCGCCTAAAAGTGTCGCTACAAGCATATAGCGTAATCAGGGACGGGAATTGAAGGCCCCTAGGCAGCCGGATTTCAGAAAGTTAGACAGTGATTTTGATGTTTAGCAGCGACCAATTTACAAGAGGGGGCAGGAGAACTGGGGGCAAAATGAGAGTGAGGAGCCCTGCAAACGGCACCTAATACCGGTGGTGAAGATGATCACGCTATACTAAACCCACATATAGCGACACACTCTTAGGCGACATTAGAGGAAGCGAGAGCACAGAATTGTATGAATAGGTAGCTGGGTCATATATAGTGGGATTGAGAGAAAGAGATGCAGCACTGGGAAGGAGAACGAAAAATAGTTGCGAAAACTGATTTTACAGCGATTGAACAGAATATTGGTCAAAGGTATTGTCCTCACTTGTCACTTTGATAAGTTGTAAATCTGTGATGATGATGACACCCCTCACTGACGATGTCGGCGAAACGTTTGGGAATGTACCAGTCAATGGGCTGATGCCCAAACAAGCTGCAAAAATGAAGTAAAACCGACACTAATCAAGTCAAAAGTAGCAATACGTACGGAAAATGGACAGTCAGAATATGTGGATTCCTCAAGAGCAAAACTTCCATTAAGGATAAGCATATGATATACATGTCATTTGATAAAGAAGGGTTTATCACCCCCACGATGTTTGTCAAGACAGGACAGATTAAGGCTCATCATTGATTCAATGAAGTGGGAATTCGGTGCCTTAAAGAACAAGACGCTCAAATTAGCAGTAAAAAAATCCAAGATTAATTAGTCCATCTTTTAGTGAGAGGAATAATGACTTGAGACTAGCGAGGGATTCCTTGAAACTCAGTCTCTAAGCAAATGCTATATGCCTTCCAAAAGCTGGAGTATTCAGTTTCATCCTTAACTAAACAATTTAGTATTAGAGCAAGGTAGCAACGATGCTGTAAGTTAAATAACTACTTAATGGACTCAGGACAAGAGGCGTTCCTCTAAGTCTTCTTAACAATATGACCAAGTTGCGAAAACAAAGTCAAACAACTTGTATACAACGAAAGGGGACTGCGGCCACACAAAAGGCCACACCATCTTGGTCTTCATATCATAGATTATTATAGTCCCCGCATTACCTTAAACGAAATAGGATGAACACTTCTCTTGGTATATGATCGACTGGCAGTCTCGAAAACCTGCTTACAAACGAAAAATTTGTTGTAACTGTTACGACTTGTTCCTGAATGTTTTTTCTCATTTAGTAGCAAACTCTGGAGATTAAAATAGTAAAATAATACAATAATGACGGCGGATAAAGAATTCCTGTAACTTTTTTATCCAGTAAAAGAAGAGCATGGATGGAGTAAAAATTTAATCAGAAGTTCAAGCTGCCGGAACTTAATCATGAACAAATCACAGTAAGCGAATGTGGCAAGCTCTGTGATGGTCATGTTTACCGAAGTCATATACTACAGGCTTACTGAAAGGGCCTTATCATAAAGAATCTTTGTCTAGCTCTGAGAATTTGGCCGGGCCATAGGTATCTTTCGCCGGTGAATAAGAATATGTGAAGCGTTAATGTAAACGCCTTTATGGTAGTTGTTGTGAAAAGCTGCAGTCGAGTATGCCAGCACAATTGAAGCTAGAAGAAGGGCTGGCTCAATACGTCTTGAGTATACTTACTGTTGTGTCGTTGCTAGAGCAACCAAAGATATCAATTTTATGTGAAATGAAATATACGAAGAATTCTATTATATGAATGAGGCGGTAGGACAGATTCAAAGCACCAGAAGAAACGATCGAATGTGCAATACCATATGAAGGTTAGTTTCAGAAAGTGAACAAAAATTCTTTGAAGACCAAGTATTAGTTTGAGTAAATTCATTCAAATGACCACAGCAGACTTGTGGGAAGGACAGGAGATTGTATGTAAATAGCCAATTTATATGGTTACCCGTTCGACTCGTGAGGCTTGAGCTGGTCCGGTGGACGAAGTTCGAAGAAGTCTGAGAATGTCGGCCTGGGGCCAAGCTAGTAATTGGCTGGCCACTGTTAGCACTGATTGCTAGACTGCCTACAGCAGCGGCGTTAGAAAAGCCGGAGCCGGATCCAGACCGTGGACCAGCCGGACCACTAGGCAGATGGAGCAATCGACTACTGCCGGCTGCTGAGTTGGGAGTGGCTTGTGCTGAGATGTTGGCGAGGTTTGTAGAAGCGATCGTGGAGGAAGATAGACTTTGGCCTTTCTGAAAGCAATCACCGTGGGATGCTCCAGAAGGGCCAGCAGAAACAAAGGGACAGTGGCCATCATCTTTGGAAGATTGAAAGCCGTTCGGAAGCGAAGCTGTTTCGGGATCGATGTGCGCACTGGCAGACTTAATAAATTCATTTAAGGAAAATAAAGCTCCATCATGAAAGACTGTTATATGAATGAAAACCAAACACTTTCATATTAAATATTGTTAAAAAAAATCCATAAAATAAAGAAGACCAGTAAATTAGCCGGCAGTAAGGACTTATACAGATATATAATCAATTTATACTAACGTGCGATGGCACAAAGTAAGTCCACAATTTAGAAATATCTTCTGCCTTCATTGTGAACTATCCAGTTATAGACTGGTGGAATATAGAAAAGTAAACTGACAACTCTGAAGCTTAGAGGCCGAAAAGGTGCTATTTTAGCTGAACTTCATCCTCTCTATTAACAATTATATATCAATACATAATGATATTTAGGAAATATATTCAGAATGAGTAGGTTTATATACTATGGCTCTTATTCAATAGTTAGGCAAATTCACTATGAATTCATAAAGCCAAGTGAGACGTTGCTACTTGAGAAGTAAGCAACCCAGATAAAAAGACACCAGACACCAATTAATTGAGATGAAAGCGATTGTTGATTTGCCTTTCTCACTTTACCTTTTCAAAAATTCCCTGCATAATACGAGTTAAATTGAATTAAATCTGAATTAACAAAATATTTGACTAATAATGAAGATCCATCATTTGAAAAATGGCACCTTAAAAGATGCAAGTTAATCTGCACGAAATAAACGGAGGAAACTAATAGGAAGACGAGGCAAGAATCAACGAGCAAGGCTCTTTGGGATAGATTGTGAAGTGAAATTCCTTGCAAAAATTAAGCATTTATTTTAATTCATAGTGGTTCAAACTAGTATTCAACGACTCTACATTATAAAGACAACATCAGTAAACGTGAGGCCCAACCTTTATCGTGAAGATCACTAAGTAGCTTTGACAAATATCAAATATGCTACTCACCGGAACTGGATTAGTAGCATGCGAAAATTTGGTAGGCAAT